GCTTAAATTGCTAGAGAAGTAAAGCAACCCTACAAACAGGTAGAAATAGAATATTTATTTATTTATATCAAATGGCAGGTGTTTTGGTAGTTATCATTAGCCCTTTAGTTGACTTCAAGCTTCACAGAGAGGAGGAGGAACATCAAAGTAAAAAAAAGTCGAGAGTGGGGGGGGGGGGNGGGGGGGGGACGGAAGAGTGTTTATCAGATGTAAAAGAGACAGACACAAGAGTAGAAAAAAGGTGATTTGAGTACTGTGGAAGTAGTCGAATATGACATACAGTGAGGTGATGGTAGTTTGAGGTCAGAAGTCAACTGCCAGTTAATAGACTTTTTCGCCGTATGCGTATACGTTGCCCAGGGTGCACCACGTGGAAGAAACGGAATATTTGATCGAGCTAACAGTTCCCCAGGGAAAGGCAATGGTATCACAATAAATTTATCTTCAGATCTAGCCAGTATTCTTAGCCACTTATTCTGTCTTAGTTTATGCCAAGGAAAGGCCCTATTGTTATATTTAGAAGTGGTAGAACATCCAATCGGTTCTCCAGTGAAATTACACACCTCAGTCATTCCAACTACAAGATATGCACCGATGCACTTGTAATATATGCCGTCGGTTGAAGAACATACCTACTCCCATCATTAGACAAATCGGTTCTTTTCCCAACCTTTGTTCTCCTTGTGGCCTTTCATTTTTCTTTGCTTTATCCTTTTAGCACACTGCTTTCATAAAGACCTATTTAGATCTATAATGCGATGTGTTGAGAAATTTCGAGCTTATCTGTTGACAGAATATTGACAGATTGGCTTCCCTAATCGACATAATTCAAGAGTAATAATAAAGAGAGGTTGCTGTTGATTTGATGGGTTAAAACCTTTAGTGCTTAATTGTTCGATGTCGAGGAAACTGCTCAAGACCCTCTCATAACTGAAGGGGAGAGGGGGTGATAGCTTTCAAACTCTGGTAGTGTAGCGGTCAACGTCCACGTCTCCTTTGTCATGCGTGACGAAATAGTCGGTCAATGTTTGATCAGCAGGATTATTGAAGCAATCCGAAGTTCTCACTAGGTATTATTACAGAATGTGCATCCTGTCTGGGTTATTATCATCAACACTTCCTTGACAGGGGTTGGGCGGTTGTGAACTCTAGACCTTGTGAGTTATTTAAAATTTGTCTTAACCCTTTTCTATTTTGCACATTTTAGAGAGCAGTCAAACGTACATCGATCTGATGAAATTGATTCAATCTGATAATAGTCTCCGCCAGCTTTGGTTAAAAGCCAACGAGCAAAATACCCCTACGGGAACAAAGTGAGCGCTAGTACTCATTTTCACCCCCTCCCCCCCNTCCCCCCCCCCCCCCCCCCCCCCCCCCCCCCACGAACATGTCCTTTCCCTCAATCCATTTTCTCCTCTCACTATCCTAATCGGCCTCTTATCTCAAGCCCATTGTCATACTGTCCAATCTCCATTCCTCTGTTAAGCACAAACTCATTTGGACAGAATCTTCATCACGTCCGCTTTTTGTTATTACTTGTTCAAATGGAAATAAAATGCATAATTTGATTGTTATTTTGTTTGAATTTCTACTGCGGAGATCAATCATAAGACCTCATTACAGTTGGGGGGGAATGTGTGGACCGCTTGATTAGTTTGCAATTATTTAGGGCAGTTCATTGAAATTCAAATGGTGCCTTGATTGCTTGAAGATTACCTTACGTTTGGAATGGAGTGTGACCTGGAAACTCTCCTTCCTTTGTGAACCGCAGCAAAATGGAAAAGGTACTGGGACTTTCAACCTTTCTGACTTTGGGAATGCTGCGGCGTGCAGTTTGGGTGTCTTGGTTTGATGGTTGGGGTAATCTCAAGATCGACAGATTGCAGCTTGATATTGTGATGCCATTCGCAGTCTGCAAAGTTAAACAGTGAGAATCCGAAAGTCATTTAAGTGTCCCTGATCTCTATTGTCTTTTATAACACGTAGCGTCAAGAAGCGGGTCACTCGTGATCCATGTTGATCGTTGTACTCTTTTCTCTAAGTATTCACACACACACACACACACGCGTTTGACAATGACATTTTGGCCTTTGATCCATTATCACATTATTGATTTCAAGGCAGTGTGTGTGTGAAAACTGCGTTCATAAATTATTCTGCATCAAGTGCTGCAGTCGATGGTCTTTATCGGGTTTCGATCATTTGGCTGTGCGGCTATAGCATTACTATTACTATTGCGCAGCGAAAAAGACTAACCAATTTTATGTCGTGGAAGTGTGTGTGCCTGAATAACGGAAATAGTAGACAAGTCAGATGAGACATAAAATAGGAAAATGGTCACACGTGAGTGGATAATGAAGTCGGCGCCCAACAAATTGAGAGCATTGAGGCAAATATATGTATATGTTTTCAGAAGTGGGGAAATTTTTATCGTGATTTTGTACTCTTGGACATTTGGCTCACAGATTCATGCCTGAGATTGAGCCCAGTGTGCTCAGAGCTCAACAACGTGTTGAGTTATTTCCGTTGTGGGTCACCCCACTTGAGTTGCTCCAATATTATTGCATCAAAGAGTATGTACTTTCAGTTCTACACAGTTTATTTATCATTGGACAAGATGAATTTAATACCATTTGAGCGTTGATCTGGAATGCAATACTTTGGCTCTTAAACTTCCATTCCTACGTCATATATTAATGCCGTTCCTTCTGGGACAAGCCTACACTGCCCAAAAACCAGACGCTGACGCATTTCAAATACCTCAAAGAACACGATGTCTTTCGGAAAATGCATCACGTATGATGGGAGGGGGTGGGGTGGAATTTCCTCACAATACTTAACGAGTTCTTTCTATAGCATTTGTTTGTATTGTCTAGTTGTGGGGATATTTCATAAAAATCGTAATGTTGAAGTGATTTCACACTGCTCATTTCAAGTTGATGGGCGTTGCATTTTGTCAGCGTTCGTTAGGACTGCAATGATAGGAGTAGTCGTTTTCCAATGTCATTAAGAAAAATGGATACACAAATTGTAATTGTTTTTCTTTCCGTAAAATGTCAGGATTAGCTCAGAGTCATTTGTTTGCTGTTGTCTTTTATTAAAGATGGCTATGCATTCTATTAAACTACTCGCTAATGCCCTATAGTAGTTGGAACTCACCCCCAAAATAGTTGAATCAACCAACCAACTTGATCGAAGTGGGATGGGTGCTGCCACGAGAATACTCTGTCTTTTTATTAAGACATTTGTCTATCAGATTTTAAAGCGAGACAAATCAAGGTAACTGAGATTCTGACGGAATGAATGATGCCCATTTCAGAAAATGAAACAATGGCAATTACGTTTGGTCTTGATCAAGTACATACCATCAGTTAAGTCCTTGCTTTCGCGTTGCTTAGTAGTATTTAAAGCACTAATAAACGTTTTGTCATGTGGTATTGCGATGGTCCATATTCATGTTTGCAGAAGATTGAACACGCCATCTAACTGAGAATTTAAAAAAATAAAGCAAAACATCGTTCAAATTAAAATTATTGGCTGCTTTATTGGCAGCTATTTACATTCAAGTAAGTTAATTCATCTTGGCATTATTGGCCGCTGAATTTTCATTGGATGCTATGAAAATAGGCAGCTGTGTGCGTCTGTCTAATGACGCTGCTGTCACAACTCCAGATGAAGGAGTGTGCAACAGGAGAGTGGGAGTTCGACTTGAGACAGCAGTCAGGTGGGGATGCGTTAAAGGGAGGGCGGGATTGCTTGCACTAGTCACCATGGGAGACCAAACACGGTGGGGATTTTTGGAGGCCTCGAAGGCTGCTGCTGTGGCGGCCATTACTGCAGCCGTTGCCGGATTTGTGGCCATACAGGAGGTCTCTGACATGGTTGTTAACACATCTGGATGGATTTCTAAAATGATAAATGTATACATATATATATATATATATATATGTAATCAAATAATGTTTAAATTAAATGAATTTCGATATTTCAAAACCACGTTAGCTCATGCCACCCGCAATCGCACCCTTTGAAAATGGAAGAAATATTCTCAAATGGCTTGTGATCAGCCGTTTTCAGCTTTATGGACTGGGATGGGGGGTGGGGGGTGGGGAGGGGTGGAATTCAATGAACAAAAATGCGAATAGTTGATGTTCGAAATACTGAATAGCAGAAACGCTAATTACTCATTAAGTAAAAATGTCAACAGAAAGGCAAAATCAAATGAAGTAAGATAGGTCTTGATTGCCTAATGATTGATTCCCAACTTTTATCGACCTCTCCCAACTTCGTATTTTACAATTGCCCACTGTTTTCCCAGTCTTAATGTATCCCTTCAAAAGATTTATTTGTTTGTGTACTTGCTTTGAGGGATAAATATAAATTTGAATAAGTATCTTCCTTATCCTTCATGCTAGCATGAAAACATTCAAAAGCCTACGGTTTAAGCTAGTAACATAATTCCAAATTGTTAAATATAATTACGTCAACTTTGGTCATCGGTGAGCTATCCTCAGTTCAATTTTTTTGAATCAGCATTTGATAGCAAAGGAAGTAGCACGTTCTTCAATCATTCAAAAAATAACGTGAAAAATGGTTTCGAAGTCATAAGAATCAGGGCATATCAATTTTATTTTAAAAATTGGTCAGGCATTAGTTGCTTATATTTGAACCGTTTTGCCACTTTTCTTGTTTTAAATTTCAGTGTTTCAAATTGGAGAATTTTACATCTCCGTATAAATCAATGCCAAATAACTTTGAAAGCTATTTGCTAAAGTTCTGCTTTGAGAAAAGAAATCGAAGAAAGTGATTTTGCCATTCTTTTAAAACACGAAAAAGTATTTAATTTATCTGATTTTAATTCAACTTGATTGAACGAAGCCATCTAGTGGCTCCATCTAAGATGTTATATGAATAAATTTGATAAATGTGCTGAAGATTCGTAAATTTATTTAAATAGCCCTGTCGGTTAAAATCATAAATATTGAAAAAAATTAATAAAAAATTAACTCCTGTCCTTGATATCAAATTTAATAAGAAAGGCAAAATTAATTTTGACCTTTAATTTTAAAATATTTGCAACGAGTCTTTTGTATTCCTCCAATATTCTTTTTAATAAAATTCACGCCACGTTCACAATCTAATCATTACAAATGGGAATCGATAAACCTTTTTTAACTAACCAAATGAGCTATTTAAATTATGCATAAAGAAGAAATAAGATAAAATAACGAAAAAATGCAGTACATTTAGTAACATGGGCAATGAACGATATCAACTTTTTTATTGAAAGTAACTTTCGTCTATGGAATATTTTCAGGATATCACAAAATAAAGGCCAACTGTTAATATTATTAAGCAGGAAGTATCGTAGATGTGCGTTTTATAACAAAGATTTAAATATACTTATAAATATTATTATTATTATATCAAATTGCAGGCGTTTTGATTGTTATCATTAGCCCTTTAGTTGACTTCAGTCTTCACAGAGGGGAAGGAACATCAAAGTGTAAGAAATTCAAGAGAGGGGGGACAGAAGAGTGTATCAAAGACGAAGGTAGATAAAGTAGAAAGAAGGTGGGATGAGTACTGTGAAAGTGATGGAATATGACATACAGTGGGGTCATGGTAGTTTGAAGTCAACTGCCAGTTAATAGACTTTTTTGCCGTATGAGTATACGTTGCCCAGGCTGCACCACGTGTAGGTAAGTCTATCACACACCCCCAATTATGAAATATAAATGAAATTGCAAAATCGCTGCTAGCAATAATTTCTAGAGCTTACTGAACTTGAATGCCGATATCCTTTTAACAATTTTTAAAACTTTTTTCACATCTATTCTTGCAGTAATGTCTTAGTTATAATTTTTATCAATTCGAAATACGAGATTTAGCAAAAATATGTGGTAAAATAGTAAATTTCTAACAAAACCGCAAAATTAAGCTACAACCTTTAAAATTTACCCTTTCGAAAATTTAAAAACGGCAGACAGCGGTAGTAAATCTCATACATACAGACTTTTAATATCAGCAGTATTTTTAATGGTCTATGAAA